CGTACTAAATTGACTAATTGCAGCAATATTTGACATCCTGCTAAGCTGCCTCCTGAGACAAATCCCCTAGCTCTACCCGCAGTCAGGCCAGGGCTAACAAATGCTTGTTTCACTGCTGCTTCCCCAGTTCTCTGTTCCTGTTTCCACAGCAAAATAAAAACCTCACGAGTCAAAGCACACCAGAAACAAGACAATGGTCTCAGTCACAAATGGGACGGCAAGGTTTTTGGAGTAGAGTCTGCCAGTGAGCCTGGAGCAGTGCTTGGCTTGTGAGTTTAGTTTGTGAGGAATTTTGGTGTGGTTTCCATTTTCCACTGGAAAATGCCATCACAATTCTAAGAATAGGAATTAACTGGCAAGGGAGAGAAAAGCGGATGCTGCACTGAAGAGCAAATACTCTGAGATCCCTGCTGTGCCTGATTCAGGCTGAGGAGTAATCCTGGATTTATCACACAATACTGGAGTGTCCAGATACCAACCTAGGTCTACGCTGGGGAAACCAACACACTTTCAAGATATTGCATCATTTTGATACTACTTTAATCCCATTATGTAATGAAAATGTTTCTGAGACTCGGTTTCACAGGAAGTGAGATTTCTTGCCTCGCTGGACAGTAGGATGGGCAGGCAAGTTTCGAGGTAGCCAGGCAGAATCTGCAGCTGTGAAACCTGGCTCACTTTTCCTAAACTTGAAAGGACTCTTGTACCCTTTCCAGAGCTGTGAGACCACCGCCAGTGGTGCTGGAGCTGGCAGTGGTGGGGAAGTTGATAAAAGCTCCCCACTATGAACACAGGCAGAGTGGGATGACTCTAAATGACTCATCTCAATGTTCTTTCCAAAGGATACTCCAGAGTGAGCCTATGAACAACCAACACTCTTTAAGAAGGTAAAATATGCCCATATATTTCTGTTTGGTTGCTGGTCCTGACACCTTTCTGGAGGGGAGCTGAAGTCCTGCTAGTCTCCTTGTTTTGGTTTGTTTTCCTTTTTCCTCAAAGAGGAAAATGGATTAAGTCATTGCAAAACCCACCTCTACTTCAGAAAAAGTGGGGGAAATCTGAGGGCTTTTCTCCCTTCAGTGGTATTCTGTGATTCTGTGTATTATGCAAGTTCAGACAGTTTTTTTCAAAATAAGTATTTCTGGTTTTAAACTCTATTATTAGACTGAGCTTGCCACATTTTTAAAAATAAAACTGAAAAATTACTTATACTACTGTCCTAGCAAGCCCTGCTGCACAGAATCACAGAATATTAGGAGCTGGAAGGGACCACGGAAGATCACCCAGTCCAACCCCTGCCAGAGCAGGATCACCAGACCAGGTCACACAGGAAGGCGTCCAGGCGGGTTTTGAATGCCTCCAGAGAAGGAGACTCCACAACCTCCCTGGGCAGCCTGGGCCAGTGCTTTGACACCCTTACAAATGCAGCTGCATTTCAGCAGGGCTTGTTAGAAGGACAGCAATCTGTCATGATTGAGTGAGACCATGTTCAGTGATTCCCACCACTGGCCGCACTGGAGCCTCTCAAATACCTTTACACCCTTGCAAGAAAGATTAGTGATGGTGCACTACTGTTCCTAGCACATGCTGCATGATGGATCCCAACTTTGCCCTCTGCTTTTCACCAGTTTTGTTAAGACTTAAATTCACTGGAGGAAATTAAGTTGTACTCATGCTGTTATACTCTTGTTTTTCCTTTCAGCTGCACTTGAATTCAGTATGGCCTCAGAAGAGACCACAAAAAAAGATCTGCCAAAGGCTGAGGAACAGCAGCAAGCGGTAGGTGCCAGGGCGGGTACTCTGACATGCAACAAACCTGCTGGTGAGCTAACTTCAGTCAGCGCCTCAAAACCAGGCTGGGAGTAGCAGAAAGGTTGACCATGTGAAGCGGCCTAAATCTAAATTCAGTTAATACAGAAGCTTTTTTTTTTTTTTGCTGTAGACAAAACTTCAGGGCTGGCTCAAGTAATGCAAATACTTCTGAACTGTGAGCTGTTACAGGTCCTATGGGGTTTGGTGCTGAAGCCCAGAGTGACTCAGAATTCATGAGCACAGAGTTCAGACTTTTACTCCTGGCTTGTCACTGACTTCTGGATTGGTCCAATCAACTCTGAGTTTAAGGAGGATGAGGAGATGGACTGGATGTCCCCTTAAGACCTTTCTGGATAGATGCATGGCTTCTATTCACTTGCCAGCTTGAGGCTGGGTCTCTAATGTCACTTATTTCTCTTGGTTTTAGAGTGCTGTCAGTCGGGTAACCACCTTGCCCTTGCTCAGCTCTGCATTTAACCTGGTCTCATCTGCCTACAACTACACCAAGGAGGCACATCCTTACCTCACCGGGGTCTGCAATGTTGCCGAGACTGTGGCTGCTGTTGCAGTAGGCAGCGTGGTTGGTGGGGCACAGCCCATCCTGAACCAACTTGAGCCACAGAGTAAGTGGAGAGGCTGGAGCTCCCCTTTCTACACAGAGGAATAGGTGGGGAGGGGGGTTTCATGCACCTGTTGGGTGACACCCATCTCCTATGGCACATTGCTCTAATTAGCTGTAGCACTGAGCTTTCACTCAGCTGCTCAATGAACCCACAGAATTTCATGGACATGAAACTGCTACTAGAAGCAAAGTTTGGCCTCTTGTCCATGGTTTCTTTAAGTCACTAAACAAAAACTCCCTGCTTTTTCTCTGTCACTCCAAGTTACCAGCATCCCAACTGGTAGTAGCAGTGTCCATCTTGGATATAGCTCAGACTGTCTCATCCCAACACTTTTCAACGCTTTAAACCAACTGCCTTACCCACTAGGGGTGAGTATTACATTCCAGTTGGAGCAACGTGCTGCCAATAGCTAGAAAGCTGGAAAGGCAAAATGGAGACTATTTGAACCTGCCAACTTGTAGGGGTGGGTCAGTTTTTAACAGGACACCCCACACATACACATGCACCATCCCAGAATAGTGATTTTTTTTTTCTTTTATGAGTGTATCCTGAATTGGCCATTGTAGGGTCAAAAACCCCTCCCCAAATTGAAGAGTAAACTGGTACCTGTTGTCTTTTCTAGTTGCACTTGTAAATGAATATGCCTGTAAAGGACTGGATCAACTGGAGGAGAACTTGCCTTTTCTTCAACAGCCAGCAGATAAGGTAAAGGCTTCTCCTGGGGAAGCCATTACTTGACCTCTTGGTTGAGGGAACTGTTATAGGTACAGAACTATACGGGAAAATAAACTTCAGCAGCACTGTTTTGTCAGGTAAGCCCCTGGTATGGGCTAGAGGAGGCACTGCTAGCTGATGAAAGCTGGAGATACGCTTTCAGTATGTGGAAATGAACATCTCCATGTACATGTAGGTGTGTTGACTTCCCCACCTCTCCCACAGGACTGCAAGTACAACTTAGCCATATTGAAAAACTGCTTCAGGGAGGGAAAATCTATTTCAGGAAAAAAAAATATCTCCTTCTCTGCCTCTCCCTGTTATAGGTCATCTCGGACACCAAGAAGCTGGTTTCCACCACAATGACATCTGCTATGGATGCTGCCTGTGAGGCAAAAGAAGCAGTGGCTGATAAAGTGACTGAAGCTGTGGACCTCACTAAAAATGTTGTTGGGGACAGTGTCAAGCTGGTCACCTCCACTGTTAACAGTGCTGTGGAGGCTGCCCAGGGTGCCAAGGACCTTGTGACCAACAAGGTGACTGAGGCAGTGGACCTCACTAAACAGATTGTGGAGGACAGTGTTGGACTGGCCAAGTCTGCAGTTGCTTCTACTGTTACAGCTGCTGTAGGAGTTGCCCAGGGTGCCAAGGACTGTGTGACCAACAAGGGGACCGAAGCAGTGGATCTCAGTAAACACATGGTGGAGGACAATGTTGGACTGGCCAAGTCTGCAGTTGCTTCTACTGTTACAGCTGCTGTAGGAGTTGCCCAGGGTGCCAAGGACCTTGTGACCAACAAGGTGACAGAGGCAGTGGACCTCACTAAACACATGGTGGAGGACAATGTTGGACTGGCCAAGTCTGCAGTTGCTTCTACTGTTACAGCTGCTGTAGGGGCTGCTCAGGGTGCCAAGGACCGTGTGACAAACAAGGTGACTGAAGCAGTGGATCTCAGTAAACACATGGTGGAGGACAACGTTAGACTGGCAAAGTCTGCAGGTGCTTCTACTATTGTCAACGCTGTGGAGGCTGCCCAGGGTGCCAAGGACTGTGTGACCAACAAGGTGACAGAGGCAGTGGACCTAACCAAAGGGGCTGTCCAGGATGGTGTTGAGAAGACCAAATCTATGGTCACCTCTACAGTCCATACAGCTCTGGATGCTGCATATGGCACCATAACTAGCAAAATAAATACAGCCTTGGAGCAGAGCAAAGGTGCTATCCAGGAGGGTGTGGAGATGACTAATTCCGTGGTGACCAACAGCATAAGCAAAGCCAAGGCAGTGAGTCAGGCAGTGGCAGGTGGTGTGGAATCTGTCCTGGGCTTATCGGAAGATCTGGTGGATCAATACCTCCCCATGACAGAGGAGGAACTAGGTGAGAAACGGCTTAGCTGGCAGCTGTAAATGCAAACCCTTTCCCACATGACTAGGGAGCACCTGATACAAGATCCATCAGGTGGGTCTGCATTTGCCACCAAGGTGGCTCTGTCAGCACTGACTTGCCACATGGTATGGGACAGAGCTTGCGCATTTGCTAGCTGGTCCTTGCCCATCAGCCTCAAGGCAAATAAACGTGGGTACACACTTCAACCTGCCAAGTCTGCTTATCTGAAGAGAACTCACTGAGCAGGGACCAGCCTACCTTTAATACCTGAGCAACCCCAAACCTCTCCTGTTTGCACAGCAAGCTTCAGCCTTCATTTTTTTCAATGGGTGATCTTACCTCTTCCCCCCTTACAGCTGGGGGAGCGGAGCACAGCTGCATCTCTGTTCTTGTTTCCTCCAGGTGAACTGGCCACTGCTGTCGAGGGATTTGGTATGGCCTCTGTGGAGGAGCAGAAACAGCAGCAGAGTTACTTTGTGCGCCTGGGTTCCCTCTCTAACAAAGTCCGCCACCGAGCCTACCAGCACTCCCTCCACAAACTGCAGCATGTTAAGCAAAGCACCCAGGATACTCTCTCACGACTACAGCAGGCAATAAAACTGGTACAAACATGCTTTTTCCTTTTCCCTTCTGTTTTCCTGCCCTACTGTCCTGATGGAAGCTTTTCCTCCATCCTGTACCACCTGCAAGTCATCTTGGATCCCTCCCTGGGAGGGAAGCACTTGTGCTCCTCTGATTGTGTGTGCTTGCAATACAGCTGTTCCTCTCACTTTTCCCATCAGATTGAATCTGTGAAACAGGAGGTTGGCCAGAAGCTCCTGGAAGGGCAGGAGAAGCTCCATCAGCTGTGGGTGGACTGGAGCCTGACCCAGCCCAAAGGAAACCAAGTTAAAACTGCCTGCCAACCAGAGGTATCCTTAGGAGGTTGTGTTTGACCAGGCCTCTGGTGGATGGTGTGCATCTCCTCTGCTCTCGTAACTGAGCTCTGTCTCTTTCCCAGCAGGTAGAGTCACGGACTCTAGCTATGCTGCACATCATCACCCAGCAGCTAGGACCTGTTTATGAGAATCTGAAAGCCAGCATCCAAGGCCTCCCCAGCAATATCCAAGAAGCTGTGAATCGGGCCACTCGGAGTATCCATAAGCTTCACAGTTCTTTTTCCAGTGCTGTGTCTTTCCAGGACCTCTCCAGTACCATCCTGACCCAGAGCCAGGACTGTGTGGCAGATGCCTGGAGGTCCCTGGATGATATCTTTGAGTATGTAACTCAAAACATCCCTCTAAACTGGCTTGTGGGTCCCTTCAGGGCAATAGCTAAAGTGTCACAGGATAGCAGAAAGGAGAAGAAGAAACATATGGTGACTGATAGAAAATCACCTGTGCTGGCAAAGACTACCTCAGCAAAGGAGGTGGCTAAGACACCCAAAGAGCCAAAGGGAGCAAACAGGATTGCAGGGAAAGGGTGTGAAGTGCTGGAGAAGCCGGAAGAGAAGGCAAAGAAGGAGGTGGCATTGGCTGCAAAGGAGATCATAACTAATACACCAGAGGAAGATCTCTGAAAACTTCCAGCTCTTCTGGCCAGGGCTCCCTGGCTTCCATAGTATTTTATCTCCTAGTAGTGTGTCCAACTGCGCCTCCTGCGCTCTCCCTGTCCCAGCCTGAGTTTACAGTAAGATGTAGTCGACAAGGAGAGCTGATAATCAAGGTGGGGTGATTCCATATCTTCATTTACTGCTTTTTAAATCCTGCTGCTGCACTGAAAGGGAAGATGGAGATCAGTACTTCAGCTTTTTAAGACAGCCCAGCTGAATGTGTGAATGGCTAATTCTTGCTGAGACAAATTGTGGGAGAGAAGTAGTGTCAACTTATTTTTAATGTTGGATTTATTTTTAATTCATCCAAACTGCAGAGATCTTAAGAGGATGATGCGCTTGACCTTTGATATCGTTTCCCTCCTTCTACGAGCTTAAAAATACGCATTACAGACACAACTTCCTTTCGGCGTGTCATGCTTCTGGTGAGGCAAACCCTGCAGCAAACCAGGAACCGCTGGGGGTGAGAGGTGTCTTCTCAGAAAGAGACTTTTCTTTATGGATCAGCCAAACACTGTCACTGAGAAACACTTAGCAAGGTGGGATTTTTCTTTTAAGCATGCAAATTTGCAGTGGGATTATCTTTGCTAATCATATAAATGATTTTAGGGATCTTCTGTTTGTGTGTAAGCAACTCCATGCATTGAACCTTCTACAGCCATTAAGAAGCTGGTAAAGAGGCCAAGAGTTAATGCCATGCTAATGGGATATGCTATTATTAAAATAAGCAAGATAGAGGCTGTTTCCCAGCAAATAATCCTTTGTAATAATTTCTAATGTAACTTACTGTGGTAACTGTGTCTTGGCACAGTCCCTGTGTTAAGGCTGGAATAATGGCAAGCAAACTTTCAGAATAAAGTGTGACCTGCATTGAAGGAAATCTGTTTCTTGTATCTACAGCAGCATGTTCTCCCTTAGCCTGAGTCGGTAAGAGGCTTGCCTTTAACAAATCACTTTTCTGGGCAACTTTCTTGTTCCTGATCTTGCAGGAGGAAAGAAAAATAAATGCTTTCAGCAGGTCCATGTTCTCCCTCAGTCTTATGCAGAAAAGCCCCTCCACCCCTTTGTCCCTAAGCCTTCTGCCTCCCCTCCGGAGGCTCAGCTGCATCTACACTGCTCCTGCTCTTAACTCTACGCTCCCATTTTCGCATCCTCATGCTCCCAGGCTGTCCCTGGGAGGAGGTAATGCCACTAAAGCCTCACTAGAGGGAAATACCGGTCCCCAGACCGGCTCTACCCTCCCCACCTCGGCTTTAACACCTTCAGACGCTG